AGTTACCAGCAGAAAGACCTGAAACTCTTTTTGTACTTGAGCCACACACAAGTTGAGTATCAACAACATCACATGGAAGCTCATCGTGGGTTTGGGCTTTAGTTTCGAAAATGACATTTTCTGGTTTGGGCTGGTTAGAGGTCTAGCGAAACGCATCCTGGCCTTTTTCGTGACATTCGCAGTACATTCCAATCGAATCTGTGCACAGCTCCAGCCTTTTGTTTGCATCATCGCTTCTTGCTTCCTAGACTGCCCCCATTTGGCCAGACCTGGCGAGCCTTCCAAATTCGCCAATCGCCATGTGACTCCCCTATCCTCGTGGCCTTACTTAAAAACTTGAACAACTTCGCAAGTAGTTTCGGTATACGTATGCTCTCGTTCTGTGTCTAACTTCAACCTTTAGTTGGCCTCCCAGCCCGGGGAAGTTTGCGAAATTCTGATCGCATGCTTCACAAGGACGTTCAACTACTTCAAAGGTCACCAGGTGAAGCAGCCTCGGGTAAGAATCGCCGAGCCCTCCCTGGGTTCTTGTTGAAATAGCAGTAACAAAGATCTTTTTTATTGATATTGGGCCCAGGTAGCCATAAAAAGGTAAAAATCTGTTCTACAAGAGCCCTGCTCCCTACATAAAGCTTACATCCCACGCTAGGGCCGCTAGGCCGCTGACACACGGCTCCACAAATCAGGTTGCCCAACAACTTCTTGACAACAACCCACATGATCCTCGCTTGCTGGCCTTTTATTAGATAAATGTAGGTCCTTTTGTCTGTTGCATAAGTTTGAGTTTACCAGATGAATCTTCAATCCCTGAACCCTTACACTCAGTTTCCATTCAATTTTCCGGTTTCTTTTGCCTTAAGTTTTCCATTATTTGCGTGCTATCTCGTGTAGGTTCCTTAACTCGATTTGCCGCCTCAAACCCAAACCATAATTTCTAAACCTTAATCCCTAAACCCTAATCCCTAAACCTTGAAACCGCTAAAACATCCAAACGAAAGTCTTAGAACAGCGCCCATCCCTAGACATATCCCTGCATATCTAAACGCCAGATAACCGTTTGCAATCCCTAAACCCTACACTCTGAACCAGCAAGCCTAAACCCTAAACCTATACCTCAGATGATCCTGGCTTGCTGCCGCCTCTTAGCGCCGAGTTCGCTTCTTCGCAGAGCCCTTGGCAGGCCTGCAGCTGCTGGTCTTGGCTGCCCAGCAGCTCATTAGGGTCCAGGGTTTAAGGTTTAGAGTTTGATGTTAAGGGTTAAAGCTTTATGGAGTTTAGGGTTCAAGTTTGTAGGGTTTTAGGTTGATACTCTCAAAGAGCTTAAGCAACCGTTTTCTGCACAGCAGTAAAGGCCATGAGTTTAACAGTTTCGGGTTCAGGCGTTAAGGCTTAGGAAACCTGAGAAGAGTTCAGGCTTCGATCTGCAGACACTGAGAGCAGCAATGGGTATTGACAACATTTGAAGAATGGCAAGCATAGGAGCAAGATCCACTCTCCGCACTGGCCCCGTATTTCTGTTCTGTTCTATTTGATTCTCCACTGTAGTAGCTGAACCCTAAACGCGACGTAACCCCCTAGCCCTCAGGAGGCTTCAGGAAGGAATCGGCCAGTTGTCAAAACGGTGGGGTCAATAATATGCCCTGAAATCCGGTTTGACCTTTGGTCCTCATTTCCCCATGTCTCCTCGCTTGGACCCGTGATCCGCAGTAAGTCCAGTTTCCATGTCATGTTCCCTTTATTGGACTTTAGTGTCCATTTGATTCTCCATTCTTCTGATGATGGTGGTGTCCATCATAATTAGCCTGTCCGGCCTTTCCATCATGATTCTGAATAGCTTGGCCCTCTTTGTGGGGACGACCATAGTTCACAGCACAAACGGGTTTCCTTGCACATAACAAATACACTTGCCTCTTGGGGGCAAAAACCTCTTGCTGGTGTAGTGGTATAAAATGGACCAAACTGCTTATTTGCCAAAGTTATGGTTCTCAGAATAGGGGGGGAACTTATGTAGGGACCCGTATTGAAACAGGAACGCCCCTATAGGGATTCAGGGAAATGCGGATCCCTGTATGATAAACGTCTGCATCTTGTAGCTTTGGGACGCTGATGCCCCCTTCCAAGTCGAACCTTGAGGTCGGGCTGGAACTGACAGTCTCCTGACAAGCTACTTGGAGGGTCAGGGGGACTTCGTAAGCAGGCTAATAATATGGATAATTGAGGTTGTTATATCATGGCTTCTAGGGGGGATTAACCTACTTACTAAGTCCCGCTGACCCCCGAAGTACAGACGGTCATGAGACCCTTGCAGCAATGCTCCGCGATCACTCGCCGGAACAAGCGTTGTGTTTGCATGGTAGGAATCGGCTGCCATCCCTGCGACAAGCAATATTTAGATCTTAGATTCCGTTTGCAGCGCAATGACGCTGGAGAGGTGGACGGAGGTGCCCACGGGGCATCCCCCTTGAATGCCAGTAATTCCCATTTATATACAACGATCGTCATCATACTAGCAGCGGCAGCTACATCTACCTCTACTTACACTTTTCCTACGACTATACTACGAGGACAAGGACGACGACTAATACTCTGTACCTCTTTCACCTCCGCGATGGATGTGCGATGCTGCTTTCTAGATCCATGGCTCGGGCGACAGCCCATCCATCAAAGGCATGTGCAGTGTTGTGTATGGCGTTCGCATGCTGACTTGTGATCCTTGTTCTCGTGCTGACCGGAGCCTACTACAAGACTTCTCTGCCACGCCCGGACACTTTGGAGCTGCCAAGCATCTGTCTTCCTTGTCAGCTTCCCAATGGCCTTTAGCTCCTGGGAAGCTGCCTTTAGAATGCTTGTCGAAAGCTTCAGTCGAGTATGTGCCAAAACCGGGCGTCCCCTAAAGCCTAAACCCTATATAAACCCCATGATAGAAAATTCCATGTTCTTTTCCATTATCCCAATATTACCCCAATACAATGGACAGGGTACTACTGGGGCACCTAGGAAGTCAAGGCGACGGCCCTGTTGTGATACACACCCAGTTAGGAACTGAGTCGGTTGCATGCGCCTTGTGCGCACGGAGACCTTCAACGCCAAAACCCTTTCTGGTTTGCTGGCGGAATTTACGTGCACCTACCAAGTACTATTGGGCAAATTCCAGAGGGGCGCCCAACAAAAAAGACCGCCGTAGAACATTGGTCTCTATATTGGGATAATAATGGAAAAGAAAATGGAAACTACAATAGGGTTTATAGGGATTATATAAAGGTTATTATAGTGTCTGGGCTTTCGAAGAGCTAAGGGGTCTTTCCTGCTCAGCTCCCCAGTGGAATTTACTTGATCTGCTGTCCAAAGGAGCACCCTTTGAGGTTACTCGGACGAAAGTCATCTCTTCTTGAACCGCTAAAATTTTAACGAATTCGTGCTGTGCTAGGTTTGGCTGCCTTTACACCTGAATTAGAGGAGTTAATCCAAACTGGCACTTGCTTTGCAACTTTGCACGGAAGCAGCGCAGACTCCCACAGAAGCTCAGCTTAGTAGGAGGGACACAGCCGCCAGCCAGTGCCGGCGATGCTCTGGTCTGAAACCCAGTGTATAGATGCATCTGGAATTATGCCCTCAGGGCCAATTTCACCTGAGAAAGCCCTACAGTTGAAGGACAGGTAGTCGAAAGCTGCCTCTGTTGAGAAGTTTTCGACCGAGATGGGCACGGCATCGCTGATGTTCACTGCAATGTAGCATCTGTCCTTAGAGGGATATGGCTCAGGAAATCCAGGACTCATGATGCAGTCGAACTCATCCATGGTGCACTTGCCGGAGGTGACCTTCCACATGGCACCACGGAAGTCGATGCCGGAGATGTCCTCCTCTTCCTGCAAAACATGCCATGTGAGTTGGGCGGGGCCATCAATGAACACGGAAGTCTAGCAAAGGTCTCCAGTAGAAACTCTTCTGGGCATGGGCTTTCTCAAAGCCCAGGACCCAACTATCAACAGAACAGGGCATTGATCCATCCAGAGACTTCAGGCCCCTTGTGGCTGGAAGGCATGCGCTGAGCCTCATTACAGAGAATTTTGGTTTGCAGAACTACACGTAATAGTACACGATGGTAAGAGGTCCTGCTTGTCCTCGGCCGACACCATGCGAACCTTGTTCCCCATCACATCCTCCACCCAGGCCAAGACGCTGTGCACGCGGGCGTAGATGCCGGGGAAGTCTCTGAGCGCACAGCCTTGGCCCCAGGAGGTGACTCCGCGAATCACAAAGGCGCCATCCTCCTCGCAGACCATGGGCCCTCCACTGTCGCCCTGGCAGCTGTCAGTGATCCCAGCATTTGATTCGCCGGAAGCACAAAGCATGGAGCCTGTGACGATCTGGCGCTGTTTGGTGTAATTCACCTCACAAGCCTCCTTGTTCACAAGGGTCACAGGAGCCTCCTGCAAGAGCTCAGGAGTGGCTCCCCTGGAGGAAAGGGTGCCCCAGCCGGTGATTTGGCACCGGGTACCCACCTGCTCTGTGCGGGTTGGCAAGCAGGCAACACCAATGCACTGGTTCATTGGCATGGGCTTGTCCAGCTGAATGAGTGCGAAGTCATAGTCGTGCTGCACGTTCTTGTTGTGCAAGGGATGCACGAAGATTCTCGCTACACGCCGCTCAACGAACAGGCCCTTAGCCTTGGAAGTGTCTCTCTTTGAGGTGCCCGCGCCTACTCTGAGGGTCCTCACGTCGCATGGATGCCTTATGTGTCCAACGCAGTGTGCGGCAGTGAGGACCCAATCCGGGGCGATCAGGGTGCCACCACAAAACTGGCCCGTACTAGGCGAACCTATGCTCACCTGCCACCTCCACTTACAGTGCTCTGCATCTGCACCATGGACGATGCGCTTCTGTGGCCCTCTACCCGGCATCCCACAGCGCGTCCAGTCCCCTGGTACCTTGCGGAAACTGGGTGCGGCCATGACTGGCACCAGAAGCAGCCAAGCAAGGAACATGGCCATGGCTTCTTTTAAAAGACCGCAGAAAAACTCCAGAGTCTCCTGGCAAGCCTCAATGGGCTCGTTCGCAGGTCGCGCGTGAAGCAGGAATGGGGTGAGGGAATAGCTGGATCACTAGGGGATGCCGTCGCATCACACACAAGGATCCCTAGCAGCGCCCAGAAAAACTCTGCATTTTGCACGGACTCTTTTGCTCTCTGCAGGTTAATAAGGGCATACAGTATGGGAGATTATATTCCCGTATTCCCTACTGACCACTGGTAAGTTTGGTGCTCCTGGCTTTCGGAGGCCACGGGTTCCTCATCTCCAGCCTTGTGCACTTCAGTCAGCCAGCCATGAATCTCACAAACTTCTTCCTGCTGTCTCGGACCTGTATAGATCGTATAAGCCACAAAAGACTGCGTGGACCGATTGGTCATTTTTCTCTTCTGTTTGGGTCTATGAAGTCTATGAAGTGATACGGCACCGTGCCAAAGATGTTCATGCGTCTAGAGGCAGCGGAGCCCTCAGATCTCAGTCTACGTGCGAATGACGTCAACTATCGACACTACAGCTAACATCAGGATTATATGGGTTTACATCCTTCATCTCCCTCACTTTGTGATAACACTCAGTGTGCTTATTGAACTCGCTGTGTACTCCCCAGCATGCTGGCCTTGGATGCAGAAGTCTTCTCGTCCTGCGCTTCCTTCGCATGTTTCCACAGGCTTCTCAGGACACTCTGGCAAGAGAACCAACATGACCGAAATCTATGTATCTTCTGCGCGTCTTGTAGGCTTGAAGGGAAAGCTGCTCAAGCAGCTGAAGGTGGGTAGTCCTATGTTACCCCAGCAGCGGTGAATCACTTGGAGAAGACAATGGAAAATGTAATGGAAACTGGGATGATCTGTGTAGGGTTTAAAGGGATGATAAACAAGATTAAGGTCCTAAACCCCAACTCTTAAACCCTAGGCCCTTATGGGCCCTAAACCCTAAACCTTCAGACCTAGATCCCAAACCGCTGTAGGATAACTGTATAGGAGGTCTGAAGGCATACACCTGCACTGGCGGCAGAAGCGGTCAACTGCATGGAAGCCACGACTGACGAGCCACGAAGCACGGAGAACTTGGGGTTTAGGATTTAAGGCACATTGCAGGTGCTGTTCAACACATGACGTTCCTATCGTTTCCTCTCCATATAACTGAATACCCTGTTGCAAAAGGGCGAAACATCCAGTCGCAGCTACAGCGATGGAACTACCTGAACCCCAAGGTATGTAGAACAATGGCCTTTATCCCATCTTTATTCTTTTTGGGCCATTGTGTACCCATTGAGGTCTAGGTACTACAGTGGGCTGCAGGTGTGGCACACCACAGTGGACACGGCTAATCCACCTTCCCTAATATGAAACCTGCCCACCCCCTAGCATTAAATACTCCCTATATACTGTAATATACCACAATTCCCCATTGTAGTATCTTATATGTGGTATATCATTATATATACCCCACCGTGGTACAAATTGTGGTATATTTTAATACATACCCCATTGTGGTACATTAGAATATATACCCCATTGCGGTATATTGTATATTGGCTCAAAAGACGTCCTGCACCTCTGGGTTGGCTGGCTGATCAGTCGAAACTTCCGCCTCACGAATTTCAGATTCACTTTTTGCGCTGTTAGAAGCCTCTTTGGCACCTGCCAATGCAGATTTAGGGCTCAGGGTTTAGGATGTCTATGCCATCCATGCAACTGAGTTTTGTGCTTCTGATTAGCCTACAGCTCCGCCATCATTAAACTTGGCATGCGCATCTGTCATATTAACTCAGGTTGTGCTCCGAAGCTCGCTGATTGAAACCGACGTCCAGCCCTGACTCTTCACGATTCCCCTTGTCCCGCATGGTCACTGTCCGTGCCTCAGGGGCCTGCACAGGTGTAGCATCCAGCTCCTGGAGTCAGCAACTAGCTAGCCACAGCTGGCCAGGTGGCAGAGCGCACAGAGAATGCAAGATGTCGGGAGGCTGCTAAGATTAGAGCCCTTTACTTAGATTTCCTTTTACGAGGGACTGCACCATTCAGAACAACCCTTTTGACCTTTTGATTGAGGAAGAGCCCATGCGACGAAGCATAGTACTCCCAGCTTGGAACACAGTGGCAGCACGCAGGTTTCAGGGTCTGCCGGTGCCTGCTGCAATACAAAACCTGCAGCCCTGATGGGCAAAGAAAAGCTGTCCGGTTCATGGCCCAGTATGTAAAGTTTCGGGCCTAACTGATTGGAACATGTCCTTCCCCAATTAAGATGACACTATCTTGAGGAATACGACAAAGGAGACCTAAACCCTAAACCTTAAAATCTAAACCTTAAACCTCAAAACCTAAACCCAAAACCTTAAACCCTAAACCTTAAGCCCGAAAATCCTGAATCCTCAACCCTGAAACCTGAGACCCCCCCTTTGTTTTTTGGAAAACCCCAGTGAGGCGGCTCAGAGGGGCCTCGGCACCTGGGCCGGTGGTCTGCTGCTCCTTCGAGGCTTCTTCCTCACCAATCCCCTCCCCCCGCTAGAAACAAGGCCTAGGGCTTTGGGTTAAGGAAGAAACGAGGCAGGTATAGAACCAAATACTAGATATATCATAACTAAGATTTTCTAGTGATTAGAATAATTATGATGACAGGATAATAAGAATCATAGCAATAAGAACAATAGTAGTAATAGCAATACTTAGAATAACAATATTAATGGCAATGGTCGAATCCCGAAGAAGGCAGCAGTGGAAGTTTCCCAAAATCAGAGGTACCTTTTTGGGGGTCCCTACGATTAAGAAGGATCAAAATATTTTGGGGTCTCGGCTGGGGCCCCCCTATTGATGGAAACTGCCAAGTCCGTCCAGGTTTATGGTAGGTACCACCCAGATGAAACACATTGATTCATTCCATTACCGCTGCTTGCGTTCTATTGCTAACATTCCTACC